AGAAAATGGTGAGCCCTAGTTTAGGGTTAGGTTTTATAATAAACAAGTATAAGTAGGTTTTAGGGGAACAAATAGAAACCTCTCATTTCATTTTAATCCGATTTCATTATGATCCGCAACATTTATTTGTATAGTTGTAATGCACGTGACTATCGGACAATTCTAGTGCAAATTTGCAGTTGTCGAGATATCTTTAAAGTTTTAAAAAATTTAAACGTTTATTAAAATATAGAAGTCGTTGCAAATTTTCCAAACATTGAGTGGAGATATCGCATAAATAAATTTAAGAAAAATTTTTTATTTAAACCCTATAATTATGTAGAATCAAATAACAAAAATTTATTGAATCCATCGTCATGGAAATCAGAAACAGAATATCATCGTCCAATAGGATAATTGAAGTAAATTACGTAGTAAATCCATCACGAAAGTACGTACGTACTTTTCCAGAATGTCACTTCCTGAAGTGATAGTCATTCTTCTAGACATATCAAAGGCGATGTTGGAACCAGCGAACCAACTTGATTCAAAGTTGAAGTGTGCTATAACAGGTATTACGGTGTTCAATTTGTCCTAATTACAACTCATCGAACCAGCACTATTGAATCCACTAAGGTACTAGAAACATATTTTACTTTAGGAATAATCCATTTTTTAAAACTCTGCTCGTGGCAAACAATTTCATGTGTCACTTTTGCTTCGAACTGCAAAATTCTACAAGAATTCACTAATGATCATATTCCATTAACCGAAACATTAAATAAGTATGTTATCCGATTGTGTTATTCATCGATTAAATAACACGTTAAAAATATTCTATTTCTAAATAGTTGGGAGTTTCACTCGGACGATCCTCCTGGGGAAATATGGGTGGCCTTGGAATTTACTGAACATTATGTAACTGAAAAGTTCGGTTCAAGGCAGGCGTGTCAAATTATCGTAATTACAGATGGTCGAATACCACAAGGTACAATAATATTTTCTGACAATCAGATTATAGATTTTTACATGACATATGCGCATTTATATATATAGATCCGGATTTCACCAAGAATTCAGAGTCCTATTCAGCGGTTTCACATTATTTGCCTAGCGGATGAAGTTAGTAAAGATGATCATTCAAAACAAACTGAGTGTACATTGCAACGGTATAAAAAACTTTTGAACAGACATTTGCCATCCAGAGTTACAAAAAATCACCCTAAAGGTGAATTTACTCTCGAAAGGGAAGGTGCCTTTTATTTCTTACTGTATCCCCATACTGTATATAAAATTACGAACGCTATTAACGTGATTGCCGAAAAATACCGTATCCTTAATTTGCGTTATCAAATGTGTAAATGAGGTCTTGCACTTGTGAAATGTTAAACAATATGTTCAAATTTTGATTTTCAAGGCAAAGGCATCACCTTTAATTTATTATATTCCCTTTACTTAATTATCTTATCCATAAAGTTTTGCCCTATAAGGGCACCCTCTCACTTGGAAAAATAACCATGTCAATACACGTATATCCTATTATCCATGTTGATGATGATGGTAATTATTTATTAATCAAGTCTAACTAATCGTAACATTTTTTTTATTAATTTGATTTTATATTTTGATTAAAGTACAGCAATTGATAAAAATTATGTCTGTTGTGGGATTTAAGCCAAAAGAATCGCTACAAGGGGAGTCTACTTATCTACGCTTTTGGATGTTTTTGAATGATGAAATTAATGAAAATGTGGTATTGTATTAAATAAACTCTATTTATTTAAGTTACAATATAAATAAATTAACCCTTATGATACTTTTAATAGTATAATAATGAATATTTTCACGTCTTAAGTTCATCACTAAGAAAAGAAAATCGGGTAGCAATCGTTTGGTTGCAAAACAACACCTATGCCACCATCGAAGCACCATCTTCTGAATCATGTATGTCTATTTGAATCAAATAAGATGTGTTGCTATATTAACATTGATCATATAAATTGTTACATTTTTTAAACCGGTTAATTGAATAGATTTCTATTTTACGATGTATTCACATGAAAGTGCAAAAAATTTGATGACACCATCGCCGATGCCTATAAATACACAGTCAAAAAGTTATTTATCTAACAACATCGAATTACCTAAAACAGAACTTATTGAGGTATTTTAAAGGGTTAAAGGGATTTGATATATCATAATTTTCCACATAAACCCCCATTATAATGGACCTTATAGTAGATCTGGGTCTACGGCTTGGATTTGGTAAAATACGAAAGTACAAACCCGAGTCTATAACGTGGTTATATACGTATTATGTACATTATTATTGGTTTTATATAGTTCTATACAAGACCCTTGATAATAGACATAGAGGTGCAGACTAATAATGTCGTAACTAGGTCGTAACTATATAAAAAATTATTTTTTAAGTTACGACCTAGTTCGACCTATTACGCAAATATGTTCTGCACCTCTAAGTAGACCTCTCCTTTTCAAGATTTGGAGGACTAAATCTGTTTCCAAATGAGTTTGATGTAAGAGATCTCTGGTGGTTTATGTAGCAAATTAAGGTATAAAAATTCAACGGTCGTGTAAGTTAAAATTTACGACATATCAATCTATCATTCTAATAGTCGATGTTGAACAAAATCCAAAGATACGTTGCAAATTTGCCAAATGAGATCGCCAAGTTAACAACGGTGTAAGTTTATTACCATAATTTTTGTTTCCAACAAAGATACATGCGCATTCGTCATGGCAAATGTTTATTTACTTTCTTGTATGTATACTCTTCTAAGTATTCAACAAATATCAAGGATTACTGATATGTTTTGCTATATATCGCTTCGGGAAAAAGTAATTGAGAATTTGCAAGACCTACGGTAATTTGTTTATACCAATTTTTCATTGTTAATTCATACTTAAATAACTTGATCATATCAATTTATAGAATTCAGTCGCCAGAAGCCGAGAACAGAGCAATCCTTACTCAATGCTTACAATTACTAGGCGATACCGATTTTGAGGAGGAAGATGATGAGGATATTGAAGCAATGGATTATGAAGAGGAAAGGGAAGATCCTGAAGATTACGAGGATCGTAAAGATGAGGAACGTAGTAATACTAGGATTTCACTCAATGATTTGCTAAATTGGTAATGTATTAAAAGGGTTGGATAGATATATGGGGTCTTTGCCTTGAAAATCAAGTTATGGGACATAGTAAATCATATATCCCATATTTGATTTTCAAGGCAAAGACCCCATATATTCAAAAAAAAGTTTGATATAAGTAGCAGAAGCTAATTATGTAAAAAAAGATTCACAAAATGAACTTAAGGTAAAAAAATTTATATATGTTTTATGTCAAAATGGGCCCTTTTAATACGAGGTGCCATATATTCTGCCACTTTAATTTTTAAAATGCAATTGTTTATGGTTAACCTTTATGTGGCACTCAAATTAGTTCAGTATATTAGTTTATAACGATAGTAGAGCTTATCTGTGTTCATATTATAGTACGGCAGTCATTGATCATAAATTATACTGGATCGGTATGGTTTTTTTAAATTTTATTTAGTATGGATGACGTAGCCGTGTAAAATAACAAGCATGAATGACTGGGGTGGTAATATAGTATAATGATGATCATTAGTTGATTATAGAAAATCGCCTTTTTTTTTAATTAAAGATGTCTTTATACAGTAACAATGTTAAAAATTTGGTTTGCTAATTAAATATTTTTTTGCATGGGTACATACATACTAATAGTTATTATAAAATTTAGTTATATATTAGCGAGACACTTAAAGACTTCACAAACTTTAAATGCTAATAATATTTAATAGTTTTTTGCTTCACTTTGGCAGATCGTGCTAGTGACATGGTTTATTAAAGCCTTGGGTGAACAAGCTACTATAAGATAGTGTTCTGACAATAAAACTAATGCCCTGACATTCCGTAGCTGTTTCTGCAAGTGTTTATGGATGACCTGGCTATACGATAGAGTATGATCAATTAAGATAATACCTAACTGAGGCTCTCATCTGATCGCTCTACAATAGGATACTGTCAATCTGATAGTATCTTCTCGTAGAGAAGTAAAAAAAAAAAGAAAAAAAATTATATATATAAAAAAAACACAGATGTATAAGTATGATAAAATATACAAATAAGAAAAAAAAAGGGTAAGAGGATAGTAAAAAAAAAAAATAAGATTTTTTATTTACAACAGACAGTCATAACTATAAGCCTGTGTTAGATTTTGTAAAAATTATATACTACTATCTACTTTAAATTTATATAATTAGTATATCTAAGTTACAAAAAAAACCTGTATTGGATAAAAAAATCTTTTTTAACATCAGCACTATAAAGAAGTCAGAAATCAAAATTTTGTACTTAAGGTCTTAGAGCATTATTTGTCTGAATTGTTATATTCGAGACATATAATTTATTATCTATTATCAAATCCATATATTTGTTGTGACAAGAAAAAAAAAATAAATAATATTAATCATTTTAGTAATTGCAATATTGATTTTTTGAAAAAATTAAGCTGAATCACCTACTTTTTATAAAATTTTTTTTTTAAAAAAAATAAAAAGTCAACAAAACTGTATAAGGTTTTTCTATAAATTTTACAATTATATAAACAATTCTTTAAGCTAAAAACTATTTTAGTAAAAGTCTGATTACTACTTGCTTTTAGAATAAACCTTTTAGTTTAAATACTAAATATTCTAGAAAGTTTACTAAATAAAAAAAATTTTGATCCTAAGAAAACTACTTAAATTATATTTACTTCTCAATATTATATATCTTTTGAGCTTTGTTAATAGCAACTTATTTAGAGTTAAGTTTAGTTTTCAGAATAAATTTTCTGGTTTGGATACAAAAATCTTGAAAAGTTTATCAAAGAAAGAAAAGTTTAATTTCAAGAAAAACTATTCAAGTTATATTTGCTTTTTGATATTTTATATCTTCAGGCTTTGTTGACAACTGTTTATATAAAAGTAGAACTAAGAATAGTATTTATCTTGAACCTTCTCATAATATTTTCTGCAGTTTAGTTTTTTGTTATATTGATTAGAAAATTATCAGAAAAAGTTTTCTTTGTATAGTTTTTAATTAATAAGTTTAAAAATATATTTTTATATAATTTGTACAAATTTGACTAAAATAAGACAAATCATATATTTTGGTTTATTATTATTAGTTAATTTTTAATTTATTTTAAAAATAATTTTTAAAATATTTTTAATCAATTAATTTTTAACTAATCAAAATATGAGAATTCAAAAATATATTAATTTTAATATAAAAAATTTAAAAATAGAATAATTATATTTCTGTTTTTAGATATAAAATAAAATATCTAGATATAATATATAGTATGTTTTAAAAATTTCTATACTATATATAGCCAATTTTTTAAATAATCTTATACAAAGATTATTATTATTATTTTTTTTTTGCATGTATTGGCAGCCTCGCCAGTATCTTTATTAGATCAAAGCATTTGTATAAAGTACAAATTAAACTATCTAAGTTACAGATCTGATATCACTCGGCTGCCTCTAAGAGTACCCAAATACGGTCTGCCTCACCGGTTAAGGCTATTGCCCGTACCAGAGGGCTATACCAAGCTAGCCTAGAAAATCATCACAAGATGGTTTCAAAACAAATGAGTTTTTAACTACATTAAATTGGCAATTTTCTCTTTTAAAACTATTCAACTCTTTTGAACAAAGTTCTAAACCTAATTTTCTATAAATAAACCAAGATATTTCTTCTTCTACCACAGAGATATTGCTAAAATTTTCTTGTTCGTGATTATATTTCTTTTTCCTTCCAGTTCACCCAGTCTTTTCCAAATTGTGACCTGGGTCTTGAAAGTTTTCTCTTGATCTTTTCTATAACTTTCTCTTCCTAGTTTATAGCTTCATACTTCTTTTCTTCTTCTGCTTGAGGGCTTGATCTATTGGTTTCTTCTAGAGATATTCTTCTATACCTTCTCTTTTTCTTCAAGTACCTTAAGTTTTCTTTCGATTTTTTCATTTCAAGATCTTGATCAGTTTGCCTAAATTCTCTTTCTACTATATTCTGGGTATAGAAATCTTCTTCTCTTCTTTTCTTGGTCTTCTTACTCTTCTTTTCTCTTCTGAAACTTGGTCTTCTTCCCAAGAATCTTTCTTGTATTTCGTTAAAGATTCTCTGATTTTTAAGATGTTCTATGAAGATTTTCTCTAATATTCCTAATAATGTGTTCTTCTTTTTCTTTTTCCAATTCTTGACACCCCATGGTATAGATATTACTGTACTCTGTGATGATTTCGTATTCAAGTTCCATTGGGACTTCTGTCCATATATTCACTTCACCAAAAGATCTTTTTTCATCTTTTTCTACATTTTCTTGTTATATTGTGAATCATCTTTAATGCTAATTTGATATATCACTTCTGTTAACCAATCCTTTAGGGTTGCAGATATACTTTTTGGTCTTGATTCTTCTTGAATCTTGTTTAGTACTTTAGCCTCTGTAAGACTAGGAATGTTTTGTTTTTTGCTTTTGTTTTGCTTTTCTTTTCTAATTTTTTTTTTTCTTTTCTGACATGCAGGGCGAATTCGACAGATACTTTAAAATATATTATTAAAGTCCTTAAATCTGAATTATTATTCTGCCTTTGTCAGATTTTTCTTTGTTTTTAAAGTCTCTTGCTCCAACCTATATCTAACTTTGACTTTATTATAGCAACTTGTTTTTTTTCTCGTTGAACTTGTATCTTTTTTTTTTTCTTTTTTTTCTCTTCTTGTTTCTTGTTGGTTTGTTGCTGTAGTCTTGATAAATTCTTTAAACTGATATATTGTAGAATTTAGGGCTATTTTGTTAAACTGTTTTTGTTAGCTTTTTCTTCGTTCTTGGAGTCTCTTGCTCTAATCTACTTCTAATTTTGCCTTTAATTCAGCATGTTGTTTTTCTCTTTCTATTAATAATCTTCTAACTTTCTTGGCTATTCTTAATTCTGCTATGTAACCAATTATTTCTTCTATTATAATATAATGGACAGGGTCTTTTCCATCTTGAATTGCTTTGAGAAAAGTCTCATATTCTCTTTCTATCAGTACAAATTCTATATATTTTAATTTTTCTATATTATAGTACTATAATTCTTTATAGATCTTTGCTATCCTTTCGTTGGCTATTTTCTTCGAAATGAGCTCTTGGCCAACATATTCTGCCATTATTTCTTCTATTTCTGTGTTTATTATTTTGTCGATTATTGCTGCTTTTTCGCTCTAGATATCTGCTATTACCTCTTTTATAGCTTCTGGTGTATTAGAATTAATATAATTTTGTTTATATATCTTTATATCTTTATGTACTTCTTTTGCTTTCATCTTTGCTAATTCTGCTATTACAGGTTTTTTCTAGAACTTTCTGTTGTTGTTTTGCTTCACATGACTTGTTGTTTTCCGACTACTATTGTTTGTTGTTGTTGTTTGCTGTAGTTGTTTACCATTTTTGTTTATTTTCGTTATGTGGTTTTTGTTATGTTTACTTTGTTTGTTTTCTATTACATGTTGTAATTTTTGTATCACCAAAACAGATATACAATTCAAGATCAAGATTGATTCTCCCAAAGTTCGCAAAATGCAAAAAAATATTGATGATTTTTCACGACTTCTTCTATTTCTTTGCCACTTCTGTTTTTCTTACTTAAGTCTCTTAATTGATGATTCTCCAGTGAACTAATTAATTATCTTAGTGTAACGCAACGTGGTTCTATATATAAATCTCTTAAGATAGAAATGTGGCATTCACGCAAGGAAAACTTTTTTCTTACTAAATAAATTATCTTTGGGCTTCTAACAAAAGTTGTAGAGCTCATCAAGATACATCTAATGGTAGTAAGAACATTAAAATTGGCTTGGTGGTTC